GAACACTAAATAAATAAAAAATAAAACGTAATATTGTGGTAACAAAACCATCAATCTTCCCGACAGATGGCTCTGTTAACAATAATTATGGTAGACATAATTCTGCCGGTAGGTAGTTCGGCCAACAACATAATAATAACACAAATTATCCTGCTTTGGTTATGGTAACCTATGTTTGTCATTGCGGGGGGAAGGGATATGTCTCAATGGAAATGGGTCGCTAATAGCCCCTTTGTCCAGCCCCTAAATGACATTTGGAAAACTCAAGAACGAGAGAAAAAGTCACACTGCTACTTTATCGAGCATAGATTCCGGTTGGAATCCGATGCGAACCCGGGCCTCAGAGGCGAAAAGCTGGCGACTCATCACCTGAGGAATGGCACGGGCGAAGGTCACGTAAAGAGCGAGTGTGCATTAGTTATTAATAGAGAACAAAAATGGCGGCAGATACCAATGCTATTACTCAGAAAGAAATCATTAGATCTTGTTAGAATTACAGCGTCTACCAAATATGATGGCTAATCTACGCGTGACTGTCATGACCTGTTGATTTCCATTTTATCATCCGCGGTTTCCAAAGCTGCAAACCAGATCTTGATTTTAACATGATGCTGTTTATTAATTTATTCATCATTTATCTTCTTGAGATAAAATCTCTGGGTATCAGTGTTTTGTTGTATTCGTTTACTTACCGACAGCCTCTCCCAACATCTTGGAGTTAAAAAATGGTGGACAATAGCTGTCAGCTCTTGTAAATGAACAGGGCACTTGGTTGTGTTTTCTGTCTAACAAGACGTGATCAATTAGATTGCAGATCTCTCTGTCAGGAGAGAAACAAATGTATTTATGAATTTTACGTGGGAACAGCAAATTTCACTTTTTAATCACCTGAAATCTGACTTTTATACGAATAAAATAAGACATAAAACCCTATAAATGAAGTCCCTCCGAAATATTTGGATCAACATATACCACACATAAAAACTTAACAGCTTGTAATACAGAAACAAAGCTGAGGCCCACATTTAAAATCGATATCTTCACACCATTGAGAAAATCAAATTTCATACGTTATATTTTATGAATACCATAGCTTAAATTAACGCATTAATAAATCCCTCGACGTATGTCATATATTGCACTCTTAAATAGATTGTGAGCCAAAAACTTTAACCTACGTTGCTGTCCCAAAAATCACTTTCTGATATTCAAATATTTAGACAAGAATGAAACATGTAACATCTGGATTCAGCTGTTCTAAATGCTATAATATGGAAATCGCATTAATTAAATTGCAATTCTCTCACATTTCTTTTCTGAATAAAGGAGATATACACAGGCAGAAGTTCATGAATATACGGAGTGTCCCAGGAGGAAAGGTTAATATTATGGGAGGTCATAGTATCGGTCATTCTAAGCAAAAATGTCTATATGTACATGTGTCCTATTCCGAACGGTTTCCGAGATACAGCAATTCCCCTGTTTGTGATTGAGTAGTTCGTCTCGTGTATCCACTTTTCTTCTATACACTTCAATCTTCATCCAATCCCAGAAACAAGAATCTAAGGGGGTTAGGTCTGGAGATCTTGGTGGCCGGTCAATGGTACCGCCACGAACGATTCTCCCGATTAAGGAAAGTATCACTGAGACGTTGCATCACAGGTGGGTATAATGAGAAGGGGCTCCGTCATGCTGAAAGTACATAGCAATCCGTATAGCCAAAGGAAAATCCTCTAGTTCTGGTAATCCATTTTGCAGAAAGTCTAGTTAATATTGTCCTGTCATAGGATAATCTAAAATAATGTGACCAATTAACATGGCATCGATCATACCGCACCACACATTGATAGAGAAACGATGTTGAAAATTTGTTTCTGCAATACCACGTGGATTGTGGTGAGACCACCGATGTGAGTTACGAGTGAAAGTAGCTTCATCAGTGAATAGTATTAATGGAAGTAACTGGCGATTAAATAGCTGTATCTCGGAAACCGTCCGGAATAGGACACATGTACATATACACTTTTTTGCTTAGAATTACCGATACCATGACCTCCCATAATATTGACCTTTCCTCCTTGGACACTATGCATTCACTGATAATACACTCATGTTTGTACAGAATCTGGGGTCTGTTGGTACGAGTAAAAACACATTAACATCACGCAAGGCCGTGGTCTAGGCAACACGGAGTTTTCCTCCGGGGGCTTCCCCGGTTTCTCCG